AATGCATAGTTTTTATGGTGTCCTTCCCAGCAATCCACTCTACACATACTCTCCGGGGATTCTCGGCAGCTGCAGCAGGCTCCAGCCCTCATCAGCCACTCCACCAAACCTCTGCAGCACCCCATGGCACTAAGCTGTGGTGTTTGAGAGGTTAAATGTGTTAGACACGATTCCAGCTTACAACATCTTCGCCTTCAGTAGGTTTGTCTGGGTGTCACCCTATCATAAGCTGCGCCACAGATGGAGGAATGTTGTCATGGGATTTGGTTACTTGTAGTTTCAGGCGTCTGCAAGGGGTATGCAAACATATTCCCTGTGGACAAGAGGGGACTGCTACATGAGCTTTATGAAAGTGGGGTTTTTTTTCTTCTAGTTTTTGCCGTTTTGTTAATGACTGCATTGACTCCTTTTTCTACAAGTTGATGACCATTTGCCTTTTAATCTATTGAGAATGCAAAAAAAAGAAAGAAAGAAATACTTGTAGCAACCAAAATAGATGTCAGTGTCACCAAAGAGGATTTTACAGATGGCAAGTAAACACATAAAAAGATATTTGACATCATTAGTCATTAAGGAAATGCAAATCAAAACCATTGTGAGTTACTATTTCACATTTATCAGAATGGCTAAAATATGCTGGGTTTGGGGATGCACACCTTTAGTCCCAGCACCAGAGAAGCTGAGGCAGATGGATCTCTGTGAGTTCGAGGCCAGCCTGATATAGTGAGTTCCAGAATAACCAGGACCACAAAGAAAGAGACCCTGTCTCAAAACAAGCAAACAAATAAACAAGACTAACTAAAATGAGCTAGGGAGATGGCCTAGTGGGTAAAATGTACAACCTAAGCATGAGGAGCTGAGTTCAAATTCCTAGAACTCACATAAAGCCAAGCGTGGTGGTGCACATCTGTAATCCCAGAAATCCTACAGGGAAAGAGGAGGCAGAGACAGGAGAATCCCAAGAGGCACTCAGGCCAGCTAGGTAAACATGATATTCCTATCTGAAACAAAATGGAAAGCAAGGACTGACATCCAAGCTTGTCCTCTGACCTATGCATACACACAAATACACATCATACATACATAAATAATTGTGGCACATGTGTGTACACAAACATATACATACATACATACATACACAAACACCCATACTATGACCTGTATATATGCACACATACACATCATACATAGGGGTGGAGATGAAAATGGGTTAAATAAAAACATAGTAATAATACCAAATTCTGGAAGGACTATTGGATCTCTGACATGCTGCTGATAACAATGAAATGGTCCAACATTTTTGAAACAACTACAGAACTTTTTTACACAATGAACCTGTGCTGACCATACAGCTCAGCAAAGTTGCTCTTGGTCATTGATGCCAAAGAAACAAAAACGAATTTGCACAAGATCTATACATGAGTATTCATAACAGCTTTATCCATAATAACTAGGCATAACCTGAATGCCCTTCAGTGAGTAAGGTTAAACAAATTAGAACATCTGTTCCATGGTACAGTGCTCTGTCACCAAAAGAAATGTTAAGTTACAATAGCAAAGATTTGGGCCAGTCTCAAAGATCCATTTCTTAGTAGGTTTGTTAAATTAAGCGTGGGCAAACAGGGGACATAAGAACCACCCTTTGCTTGGGATTCACCTCAATGGATGTTAGTTCTGAGTTCAGTGTGTAACCACTACCGTGTTAGGAGCAACAGGCACAGGGAAGGGGCGTGGCTTAGCCCCTGCCCTCCCAGTGTTGATGCTGAGCAGTGAAAGTAACCAAGACAGCCAAACCAAGTCTAGTCGGAAGCACGCCATGTCAGGAGAAGATGGGATGAGCACTGAAGACAGTATCGTAACCAGCTAGAGGAAGGGGGTGCAAGAAAGGGTTCTAAGTACAGCTGAGGAATACAGGATGCATGGGCATAAGAAGAGGAAAATGGAAGCTTCCACAGCAGAGAAAATACCACAGGTAAGCACTAGTCTGTAGAGGGTTGGAGAAGCTACAGCTTGAGAATGTAGGAAGAGATGAGGCTGGGCCCTAAAGAGGATGACAACAGGCAGGGTCCAGGCCAAGAGCTTTCCCAAAAACTCAGAAGGTTTAGGTAGTGATCAAGATACGAGGGGCCACTGAACAGGGGCAGGCCATCTAGTTTCCTGGTTTCTTTCTTTCTTCCCCCCTTTCTCATTGTTCAGTCATTCATGTATTCTGCATGTGTATGTGTACACATAGAAGGCAGAGGACAACCTGTCAGTTCCCTCCTTCTACCACGTGGGTTTCAAACAGTAAACTCAAGTGATCAGACTTGGCAGCAAGCACCTACAGCCGCTGAGCCGTCTCACTGGCCTTGGGTTCCTGATTGCTGTAGCCCACCTTTATATGGGCTCCTCTATTCTGCTCTTCTCTGCTTCACCCCTTCCTACCTCCAAGACCAAGTTCAAACCCACATCCCTCTCCAGAAGCCTCGTCATACCCTCACTAGAGGGGATTCAGTCCTCCAAACAGAACAGAGACAAGAGAACTTAAGTGTGTGCACCGAATGGTGTGGTGATGTTTTTACAGTTGGAAGCCAGTCTGCCAGAGTCCCGACTCTGTCGTAGTGACGCCCTCTCTGTGCTCAGTCACCCATCTGTGGAGCAGAAGTACCTGAAAAAGTCATCTCAGGACCAGGTGTGGTGCTGTGAGCCTTTAGTCCCAGTACTCTGGAGTCAAAAGCAGGAAGATCTCTGTCAGTTTGACGCCAGCCCAGTTCACCTAGTGAGTGAGTTCTAGGACAGCCAAAGCAACATAACAAGACCTTGTCTCAAAAGACAAAAACAAAACAAACAATTGTCTCAGCATGGAATAAGTAGATTGACGTGCTTCACTCCCAGCAATGGGGCGAAAGGCAAGTGCTTGGTGTCCACCCCTTGTCCTGCTGGCTGTCATACCCCTCCCCCATCCGTAGCCAAAACGGCAAGGTCAAACATTGGTCGTGAGTTCACTTTGGGACACAGGAGCACAGAAGTTTGTGTCCTTATCTCTCTGACAGTCACTTCTAACTATGACCAGACACCTCTTCTGGTACATGGACTACTCTCACCGAACATGAGGTCCAACTACAGGCCTTGTTTACATCTTACTTCACAAATGAACCTGCCAGATACGCTGAGCCTATAGGCCGAAGATGATGCCCCAACATTGTGGAGAAACCTCGGGTGACTGTCCAGGCCGCTGGCTGTTTCTGTCAACTCACGTTTGTTTTGGGAGTCCCTTGTTTGCACTTACTGTTTTATTAGGTAATATTATTTCCTTCTTGGGTATGTTATTATTAATATTCCTCCTTAGGTAATATTATTTCCTTCTGAAGGAATTAAGATTAGATGGTCATAGTTGTTATAGAAGTTAAAGATTAGATAGTTATAGTTTTCCTTGTTAAGAATTTCAAAAAAGAAACTCACTAAAGAGGTGTAAGTGTATACATTTAAAAGACATTATAAAAGAGTTCTCTGTTAGGATAGAAAGTGAATCAGGTACATTTTGGACTTACCAAAATAAGATAGATAATAAAATATTTTCTCTGAGTTAGTCAAATGCAAATGGACTAGACATTGTTTAGGTATTTATTGCTTGTATATATTGTATATAGTTATTGTACTTACTGTATATAGTTTTTCTTATATTAGTTATAACTTTTTCTTTTTTCTTTTTATTAGAATAATAGGGAGAAATGTGGTGATATTTTACTTTTGCTGAAATGTGACTTTATTTGTATGTTAATAAATAAAATTTGCCTGGAGATCAGAGGTCATTAGTGAGCCAGGAATAGAAGTCCGGTGGTGGTAGCCCACACCCTTAATCCAATCACATGGCAGGCAGAGTCTCTGTGTGGTCAAGGACACAGCCAAGCTTGCTGACCCTTGAGTCTTTAATCCCAATACCAACCATAGAGACCAAGAGGTCTGTATAGACAGGCAGTGACAAGGAAGTTATGTGGTTGGGCTTAGAGCCAATGAGAAGGCAGAACAGGAAAACAATAAAACACAAGACACACAGAAAGAAGGTCTCTCTCTCAGGGAAAGGATGGCAGCGAATGGTAAGATAAGATGGTCTTGGCTGTTCACTAGTGCTCGGATCTCTTGGGCTTTTAACTCTATATTTGGCTCTGTGTTTCTTATTTAATAAGACCATTTAGAATTTTGTCAACAACTGTCCTCAACAGGTTACAAATATCCTTATGTGAGCCTGGCAGTGGCACATGCCTTTAACCACAGCATTCCAGAGGCAGACGGATCTCTGAGTTCAAGGGCAGCCTGGTCTAAAGAGTGAGTTCCAGGACATCCAGGGGTACACAGAGAAACCCTGTCTCTAAAAACTTAAAAAAAAAAAAGAAAAAGAAAAAGAAAAAAAGAAAAGAAAAGAAAAGAAGCATCCTTGTGTTTCACAGGTAACACCCATCTGGGATCACGACTTAGAATAGATATCACCTGACTCTGCTCTCTTACTCCCAGAATGACCTAGGGCAGGTACCTTTACCTTTCGGAACCTCCAGGTTTCCAGCTGTACAATGACAGGGAGTTGCTGTCGGAGCAAGAGGCTCAGAGGCACTTGGCAAAGGGCTGATGTAAACATGATTTCCATTTCCTGTTGCAAGCCACACACCTCCCAGTCCCTCACTTTCACTTCCAGAAGGAACACACTCCTCAGTCCAGCTCATCTGGCAGGAGTCCAGTGCAGGGAGCAGGTGCATTTTAATATGCCCCACCTCCTGACTTGATGTATTCTGGTTCTCCTCCTCCAGGGACTTTCCTGACTTCCTTCTGTAAATGAAGGAAAGAGCACATGAGCATACTGTATATAAATATGCTTGGGAAAGCTTTCTCCTTCTTCTTCTTCTTTTTTTTTTTTTTAACCAAACTTGGTTTCTGTTGTAGGCGGCACATTCCCTAGCCGGGCAGGGCGGGCTGCAGCGGGCTGTCAGGGGGAGGGGGGGAGTAAAAAGGGGAGGAGAGGCAGAGCATTAACTCAGCCAGTGTGACAGCTGCTCTCTTATTTAATGGGGGGGTCTCCGGTCAGAAGGAGTCAGAAGTGCCTCCAGGAGAGCAGAAGCATGACGGAGGAGCTGGGGCCGGGTTTCGAGGAAGCAGGCAGAGAGGAAATGCCAGAGGCCAGGGCCAGGCTCGCCTCCAGGAGCAGAGCATGCTTGGCTCTCATCTGCTGTGTGCTGTCAATTCTCATCGTCGCAGGACTTGGTACCTTCCTGGTGCTTGGCCAGCTCCGGACCCCAGGAAAAGGCTGTCTACGGGTAAGTAAGCTTGCTTCTGCCTGGGGAATCAGTGTTCTCTCTGCAGGCAGCCACATATCCCGGCTTGGGACCTATGGCAGAGATGTTCATGGACAGCATGGCTAGCTTTCCTGTACAAAGAAAATACAGAATGAGAGGGTGAGAGGTGGAAAGGTCCCATCTGGTTCTTAACTCTGTATTTCCAGGGAATTGAATTGTTTCATCTCATGTTTATACAAGAACAACTTCACACTCTGTGTTTTTTTTAGATAATTATAATCATAGTGTACTAATACTTCGGAAACATTCCTTGTCCTTAAAAACACAAAGCTCTTAAATTGTATTACATAATGCATGATTATTGAGGGGAAAGAAACAGAAATCACAGACAAATAAATGAAGAAAATGTCTTACTTATAAATCCTTAGAAGTGAAAACTATTAACAATCTAAAGTATATAATTCCTTTCTATTTGGGGGGGGGAGATTATTCTGAGCTTTTTACATAGTATAAAACTGTTTTGTTTCTAAGGTAATGAATGACTCCATGGCAGCATGATGCATGGATGACATGCCATGTTCCTATATGTGTGTGCTCAAATTGGTTTAGCCAATTCAGCTTCTTGGGTTTAGAAATATTCTTCAGTGCTCAACTACAAACCTACTGACCCTAAGGTCTACCTGAGCTGGAGAGAAATTGTCACCAAAAGGCTGTGGAAGTGGGGTTAGGAGAGTAAGGGTACAGATGTCCAGGAGGAGAGCAGGAGTCAGGACTGGGAACTCCCAGGAATGATCTGAAAGGTCGAAGTGTGTTATTTAAGGACTATTCTTTAGGGGGAAATATCCTGCATGATTCCATTTAGTCCCAAGGATTGTATTAATTGGAACCCTGGTCTCTAATCAATCCTGGGCAATTTCCACGATGAGGCTAATGTGTAACTCCTGCCACTCCTCCAGAGTCAACAAACAGTGATTCAGGCAGCCACGTGTCTTGGCTTATAAAATGCAGACTTGCAAATAGACCAGGAAGGCTGCCTAGGTTAGAAGGGAACTATAGGAATGGGAAAATGTGAGGTCAGGCTTGATCAGAGAGAGAGAGAGAGAGAAGAGCAGACTGAGGTACTTCAGGGAACTCTCTAGTCAAAAGGGGACCGCTGTCTTGAACAAAGTATTGCTAAGTGGCTTCCAGCAACCTGTGCCTCCCTGGGCTCTGAAGGGATCCCTGACATACATTCAGGACATACATTAGGATCCCACTACCAGGATGCTGTCTGTAATCCCCATGTGGGCAGAAGCCAAAGAAAGCCGTCTATGCCACCAGGGGATGGCGTAGTCCAGGTAAGGGACTTGGCAGAGGAAGTGACCAGACAGAATGACCATAAAGGAGGGTGCTAAGTGTTATCACAAACAGCAGCTCGGAGTCCCTTCTTGCCTCCCCTACTCAGGTGCTTGAGGTATGAACCACACTAATGCCAATAACCTCCCATCGCATCATGAAGAAAGCAATCTCCCTCGAGTGTGGGTCGGGTGGGGCACATAGGGATGCTTGAGGCTGTTTAACCAGGCTATGGGACGTCTTAGTGCATCACAACAGAAAAGAAATGAGGGTGAAACAGGGATCCATGGAGCAAGCCAGGTCCTGAAAAGAAGCAGCTGGTCATTCAGAGGAGCGAGCTCAAGGGAGAAAAACATTTATAAACAACTTTCAAGGGCTTAAAGAGGGGCCTATTTGCTGAGATACACAGACAGAAAGAACGCAGAGCATCTAGAAGCATCCAGGGTCAGCAGCCTGGGAAGCAGCTACCACCAATCCTGTGGCATGGGTTGGGGCGGGGTTAAGAGGAGTTTCAGAGTACTGTTTCTCAACGTGTGGGTCACGATCCCCACATGAGTCTCATGTCAGATATCCTGCACATCAGATGTTTACATTATGACTCATAACAATAGCAAAACTACAATTACAAACTAGCAACAAAATAATTCTATGGGTAGGGGTCACCACAACATGAGGAGCAGTATTAAAAGGTCGCAGCATTTAGAAGGTTGAGAACCAATGTTTTAGAGGAATCTAGTAGGGAGCTAAGCCTTGGAAAGGGCCTGACTGGAGAATGCAAAAGTTTGGACAAATGAAAGTGCAGGCAGAGGGGGCAGGAAACACCGGCCATTTTACCCTTTAGACCTTTGATCCCACTGACCAGACTCAAGTAGAAGCCAGGGCTCAAAGAAGCCAGGAAGCAGCCATGCCAAGAGGCTAGCCTCACCGGGAAGGAGCCATGCTGAGAAGGGCAGGCATGGAACTGGGGTTTTCTAAAAAAGAATTACCGCCTCAGGGGAGAGGGCAGAATGTGAGATCCAAGGAGGGAAAACTAAGCCAAAATATGGCTCCCAGGTCCCTGGACTTAAAACCCAGCTCTGTCATTTTTGGCCAAGTGAGAAACAGGCTTCTTGCTTCGTGTCTTTGAGCTGTTTCCTTTTCAGCCAGAAGGGGGCGTTTCTGGCAGCATGCCTATGGGTTTGATGAGACAAGTGCAGGAGCATTTTGCATGTCTGGAATGTGGCCAAATTGCATGCTTAGGATACCGGGATATGATTACCACCCTATGCCAGGCACCGAACAACCACCAGGGAAACTTGACCTTGGGCCTCCAGGAGCTTCAAAGTTGATGCATGAGACTGAAAAGAATAAGGAGGAGGAGGAAGAGGAGGAGGAGGAAGAGGAGGAGGAGGAGGAGGAGGAGGAGGAGAGGAGGAGAAGAAGAAGAAGAAGAAGAAGAAGAAGAAGAAGAAGAAGAAGAAGAAGAAGAAGAAGAAGAAGAAGAAGAA